ATAAACCTATATATTTTATAAGACTTATCTTATCGGACGCCTTATTGGCATCCCTCCTTGCCGGTGGATCACATTGTGCAGCTGAAGCAGGAGTGGAGGGGAAAAGAGAGCCCTTCCTGTTTCTCCTTCGCTTAAATATGAGTCTCCTTGCTATGTCACTTCCTGCCTGGATCAGCACTTCTCTACTACATTTCCCAGAATCCTCTTTGACTTCTAGTCTGGTCTAACTTGCTGTCTCATTGGCCAAACAGTATTTTATTTAACAATCAATAAGATAAACATATACAGAAGTACTTCCCCCATCAAGTTCCTTTGTTAAGTTTCTGTCTGGTGTTCCTGTCCAGTGGTGAGAATGAAGTCTCCCACTATAAGTGTGTCAACTTTTATGTGTGATTTGAGTTTTAGTAATGTTTCTTTTATATATGTGGATGCCTTTGTATTTGGGGCATAAATGTTCAGAATTGAGACTTCATCCTGATGGATTTTTCCTGTGATGAGTAGGAAGTGACCTCCTTCATCTCTTTTGATTGATTTTAGTTTAAAGTTCAATTTGTTGGATATTAGGATAGTTACCCCTGCCTTGTTTCTTGGGTCCATTTGATTGGAAAATCTTTTCCCAACCTTTAATTCTTAGGTACCAGCTGTCTTTGAAGTTGAAGTGTGTTTCCTGTATGCAACAGAAGGATGGATTCTGTCTTCTTATCCATTCTGCTAATATGTGTCTTTTTATAGGTGAGTTAAGGCCATTAATGTTGAGGGATATTAATGACCATTGATTTTTTATTCTTGTTTGTTTTTGATTTGGTGATGGTGGTGAAATTATGTGTAGAATTCTATCCCTTTTTCCTTTTGGCTGTTGGTAAAGTGGGATTATCTATTGCCTATATTTTTCTGGTTGTAGTTAACTTCCTTGGGTTGCAGTTTTCCTTCCAGAACTTTCTGTAGTGCTGGATTGGTGGATATGCATTTTTTGAATCTGGTTTTGTCATGGAATATCTTGTTTTCTCCATCTATATTGATTGAAAGCTTTGCTGGGTATAGTAGTCTGGGATGGCATTCATGGTCTCTTATTGTAGGTAGAATATCTATCCAGGACCTTCTGGTTTTCAGAGTTTCCATGGAAAAGTCAGGTGTAATTCTGATAGGTTTGCCTTTATATGTTATTTGACATTTTTGCTTTGCTGCTGTTAATATTTTCTCTTTATTCTGTATGTTTGGGGTTTTGATTATTATGAGGTGAGGAGACCTTGTTTTGGTTCAGTCTATTTGGTGTTCTGTAGGCTTGTATTTTCATTGGCATGTCTTTCTTTATGTTGGGAAAGTTTTTCTTTGGTTGATGAGTCTATTTCTCCCAGTGTATCTTCAGCTCCTCAGATTCTCTCTTCCATCTCTTGTATTCTGTTGGTTATGCTTGCATCTGTAGTTCCTGATAGTTTATTCAGCTTTTCTATTTCCAGCATTCCCTCAGATTGTGCTTTCTTTATTGTCTCTATTTCAGATTTTAGGTCTTGTATTATTTCCTTGAGAGAGATTTGTTGATATCTTGTACTTTTTGGTTAGGTTTTTCTTCCATTTCTTTTTGTTTGTTTGTTTGTTTTGTTTTTTGTTTTGTTTTGTTTTGTTTTTCGAGACAGGTTTTCTCTGTGTTTTTGGAGGCTGTCCTGGAACTAGCTCTTGTAAACCAGGCTGGTTTCGAGCTCACAGAGATCCACCTGCCTCTGCCTCTGCCTCTCGAGTGCTGGGATTAAAGGTGTGTGCCACCAACGCCATGCTTTCTTCCATTTCTTTAAGGGATTTTCTCATGTCCTCTTTGAGGTCCTCTATCATTTTCATGAAGATGGTTTTAAGGTCGTTCTCTTCTGCTTCATCTGCATTATGATGTTCAGATTTTGCTGGTGAATGGTTCCTGGTCTCCAGTATGTCATATTGGGTTTTCTGTTTTTGAATGTGCTTTTACATTGTCCTCTTCTCCTCCTTTCTTCTGGCTGGTGTAGCAGGAGTCTCTTCCTCTCCCTGTGGGTATGGGACCAAGGTTCCCTTCTGGTAGATTCAAACAGTTCCAATACTCTGATGTTGGAGGTGGCACTGTTACCTGAACCTTGGCAGTGTCTGGGTGTGTTGGATCCTGCCACCGAGTTTGGATCCGGTGAGCAGGCCCCTGGCATCAGATGTTTCCAAGCAGGGTTTCTTAACCAGAACCAGAAACAGCCCCTGGCCTACCTTGGCTGGTGGATGGAGGCGGAACTGCACTGGGGCCTTGGCAGTGTCTGGGTGTGCTGGATCCTGCTGCCAAGTTCGGATCCAGTGAGCAGGTCCCTGGTGTCAGATGTTTCCGAGCAGGGTCGCTTAACCATAACATCTCTTTTTATAACCATGAGTAAGTTAGTCCTTGGTCCTTATCAAGGAAACCTTTTTGTAAATAAGAGCACTACAGAAAAACCACAACCAATCAAAATGTAGGCTTATGCAGCCAAGTTCCAGTGGAAGCATCTAGAAAACACACCTGCAATATTTTGGGAATATTGCAGAAAAGAAGGTGGAATGATTCTAAGAGCCAGAGAGGATCAAGGAGTTTGCTGTGAGATTGTGCTTCCTAGAAATGTCAGAAAGGTAAACCCATAAATTCTCACCAATGTGGCTGCCTAATTATGTGCTGAACAAGTATGACACCAGAGAACATGCTAGACACCAGTGAACATGCCAAATTGAACAGAGAAAGACTTATAAGTCCTCAATCCCACAAAAAGAACTACAGGCACAGAGGAAAGCAATGGAGTAGAAAGGTGGCCAGTGGCCTTCTCTAAAAAAGTGGCCAGTGTTCAGTGACAGTCAGTCTTGACATCATACAAACAGGTAATAGCATTATATTGACTGAACAGGTTAAATGTGTACATATATATGAATATATCTATGCATGCAATAAGAATTAGTGAAAAAGAGGCCATAAATGTAAAGGAGAGTAGGAAGGGACATATTTGGAACAAGGAATGGAAGGGAGAAATGTTATAATTAAAGCATAATCTCAAAAAGTTTTTTAAGCCGGGCATTGGTGGCACATGCCTTTAATCCCAGCACTCGAGAGGTGGAGGCAGGTGGATCTCTGTGAGTTCGAGACCAGCCTGGTCTACAAGAGCTAGTTCCAGGACAGCCTCCAAAGCCACAGAGAAACCCTGTCTCGAAAAAAAAAAAAGGTTTTTAAAAAGGCTTTGGGGATGCTATGTTTTTATTTTTATTTTATTTATTTTTAATTTTAGAAGCACTCTTACCTAAAAGTGAGGAAAACAACCATGAACATCTTCTCTAGGAACTAAAGCACAACTTACCAAATGAAGAAAGCCTCACACACGTGGCATTCACTGAATAATAGTAATAAGATCCATGCAATAAGTTTGCATTTCTTTAAACATCAAAATCAACAACATGGCCTCTGCAATAAAAGGTTTGAATTATTTTAAAAAAAAGTCTTTGAAGAAAAGTGGAGCTGGGAGTTGTTTGGTGTTTCAATTCCTTGTGCAGGAAGTGACACAGGATTGAGGTAGGAAAGTTTATTGAGATAGCATCAGAGCACCCAAGTGAGGCTCTAGTGCCCTCTTCCTGGACCGGGTCACTTTACCTGGGCAGAGCTTTACAGCTTCCTTATTCTGCACATAATGGGCAAAGTCTCATTGGGAAAGTTTATCCAGAGAGAATGTATACCATGCTTTTTTTTTTTTTCCTCTGCAGAACTGTCTGAGACTGAAGTATTTGGAACCCTAAGGATAAGGCTTTTAAATCTGTACAACGAACCTGGGGATCCATTCACAATTACTGAAGGTAAAGCTGTTCAGAGCTATTTCTTCCCTAAGAGGGGATGGCACACATCCTGCTTTTCATCAAGTGTAAGAAAAGAGAAGTGTGGGGCATCCATCCAGTCCTAACCATCCTGAATTCAGCTGGTTCCCAAAAGTGTCAGGAGCTCGCACCAAGAGTGTTCATTATTAGGAGTTTCAAAATGTGATTTCTTCCTTACATCGTGGCTCTCACATCCTGACAATGTTGCTCTAAGCTCCTAGGATTTAAAAGGAAGAAAGGAAGGAAGGAAAAAAGGAAGGAAGGAAGGAAGGAAGGAAGGAAAGTAGGAAGGAAGGAAGGATGGAAAGTAGGAAGGAAGGAAGGAAGGAAGGAAGAGATTCCCTGCCAATTAGAGGGAGAGCCTGACTCCGGAAAAGCACAGTACTTTAACTATCGAATTTATACAATTCTTTATTTAGACAAAATTCCCTTTCCATTTGTCTGGACATTGCATCAATGACTGAGTAATGCATCCCTATCCAGCTCTAATCCCTAATTGGTTTGGAACTGGAGCACAATGCATCCTGGGATTGACCTTAAAGTCACCAAGGGCTCTGACACTTCATCCAGCTTTGCTAATTTTATGTGGCAATTTCACGTCCACCCCTTGTTGGCTCCATGAGGCTATTAAAACAGAACCAATTTTCAGGCCCTGGCCACAGGGGGCTGAGCTTTGTCCTCCCTTCCTTAAAACGTGTGCGCACATACACTCACACACACACACACACACACACACACAGAGAGAGAGAGAGAGAGAGAGAGAGAGAGAGAGAGAGAGAGAGAGAGAGAGAGAGAGAGAGGATAGATAGAGAAACGACCCCAATGCTCAAATAAAAGCCAGTGAATTCCCAACAGTCTCAAGGGAAAGTATTTATTGCCTTTGCTTGATATGCCCTTAGTATACATGTATTCTCACCTCGGCACTGTTGACATTTGGGGCCAGACAGTTTGTGTTCTTTGTTATATCAGGTCCTGAACATAGAGGATATTAGACAGTCTCCCCGGCCTTTGCCCAACAAATGCCACTTTTAACACCCACTGTAAGATGTACACAAATAGTCTTTAGAAAACATCACATCACGCAGATCTTCGATCCGAAATTGTGTTCCATCAATTGTGAACCATTGCATTAGACTTGCTACTGTGACCATAAGTTCAGGATCGTTTTCTGCCAGACCATAGCGGGAGGTGGATTGGAAGAAAGCAATAAATATCCAGGCTGTGAGCTCAAGAGCCACCCCACTGTGTCTGCTGCTGACCTCAGAACACCCAGATGCCTTTGTTTATGTAGGCTCTCTGTAAGCCACTAATTCTCAACCTTCCTAATGCTGTGATCCTTTAATACAGTTCCTCATGTTGTGGTCACTCTCAAGCATAATATCAGTTCATTGCTACTTCATAACTGTAATTTTGTTACTATTATGAATTGTAAAAAAATATCTGTGTTTTCTGATGAGCCTAAGCTACCCCTGTGGAAGGATCATTTGACCCAGGAAGGGGTCTGAGCCGCAGGTTGAGAATCTCTGCTGTAATCCTTTACATAAAATAGTTTCATGTTTTCACTGTCCTGTAGATGTTTCATTGTATTGTGAAATCTATTTCCAAGACTCAGATAATGAAGAGTAAGAATTGGGAGGAGGCCCCACTCTTATAGTTGTCCAAATCTAAATACAATAACATAAACATCAAGCAATAAATCTCAGTGTGATGTCAGAAAAAACAATTCATCATAATTGCATTGATTTTTTTTTCTAATAGAAGGGAAAACAAGATACTCATTTTCTATTTTCCATATATCAAAGAAAATAATTTTTATTAGGTAAGTAGGGTCTTCATAATGCCACTTATAATTTGAAGGTTAAGTGAGATAATGTTTTATTAGAATAGATGTCAGTATGTTATTAGTAATGAAATGAGCTGCCTCACATGGTAGTTACATTAATTTCTGTATTCAGATCCAATAAGTAGAATTTTAAGATGCCTTTTAACTTAATTTTCACAGAGTTTGAAAAATTTTTAACTTTTTTTTAAAACTAGATTTGTGGAAGGGGACAGAAGAAGGGCAAGCAACATTCTAGCGCTGGCTTTACAGAATCAAAACCAAGTCCTGACCCACCCATGAAGGCCTCAGAAAATGAGCAGCACATGTGTTCCGTCCTTGAAATCTCTGCTATTGTTTTGATTTATAGGCAGTCCAAAGAAGAACCCTATAAATTAAAACATATACCCCTGCATCTTAATTTTCATACAGGCCATGGCGGTAGATTTATGGTCATTCAAGACCTACTCCATCATAATTAAATTGGAGTTGTCAGCTTTTTATAGTTATTCTTGAAGATAAATCCTTATCTCCGAGGTTCCCACAGTGATTATCATCATGGCCTCTTCCTTTAATCATGGACAGGGCATTTTGACAGTGCTGTAATTTTTACTGGTCTGTGTGCTTTTCCTTTAGTGGTGTCCCTTCATCACTAGATATCATTCTTGAGAGATGTAACAATATTAATTTCCTTTGGTCTCCTCACAGTTTCCCAGAGTTTTATTTGCAGTTTTCTTTTCTTTCTTCTTTCCCTTCTTAGCTCTGCTTTCTCTCCACTCTTTTTATCTCCTTGGGACAAATTGTTAGTTTCTCCTTTTTATATAAGTTCTACTTAATTTGTTCTTTGAACACTCATATATGTGTTTAGTGCACGTTAATTCCCTCAACCCTTGCCCTCTCTATCTTTGTAACCATACTTTCAATTAAAGAACCTCCAAATTTTGGTATGGAAGCTAGTTTTCACATTCCTCATTTGAAAGTAATTGATATCCTATAGATAAATGTGTAGATATCAATGATCAGGTGGAGCTCCTCTTGCTCTGCACTGTCCTGCACAGCCTCCATCTTTGGATGCTATGTAACTTTTTGTTTGTCTTCTCATAAGAGCACAGGTTACATTGGACTAGGATTTTAACTTCATGTCATCGTAAATATTCCTTTTCCAAATGAGTTTGTGTCCACAGATCCCATGGGATATCACTTCCCTATATCTTTTTAGAGGATACAACTTCCTATACAATTGGTAACATCTATTGTTGGCAAATCAATAAAATTGTTCTGAAAACAAGTTAACCATACTCTTTCCCCCACAAATTACTTGTAAAGAAATTGACCCTGGGGATAAATAAAAGGAGAAGTTTATTTAAATGCAAACATTTCTAATTATTGAGGGAATACTTTGGCAGGAGTTTCAAGTAAGAGATGGAAATGACTCTTATAATGTTGGCATATTGGCACACACAAAGAATGGAATATCATGAAGCCAGGAGAAGTGAAATGGAGGATTAGCATCACACATAATTCAATAGATATTAACAAATAGCAATTAGATCAAATTTTATACTAGTTTACTAGCAAAAATAGAAGGAAACAAACAGGCTCACTAAGAGTACCGTGTGTGTGTGTGTGTGTGTGTGTGTGTGTGTGTGTGTGTGTGTGAGCG